CTTTCACCTAAATCTTATACACTGGACTTTTAAAAAGAAGAATACAACTCCAGAATTCAGAACTCAAAATTGAAATAAACAGATTCTAGGTTCTTTGCTATTAAGACAGCAGGCGATATGGGACACAAATATTATCTCAATATTAATGAGGGCATCTTGATAGCTCTTTATCTTCTTCATAGGAGACATATAAGGGCTGATTGATATGATTGTGGCCTAAGTTAGAAAGAGATGAGTGACACAGCTGGGGGGGGGTTCACTTCTTACAGCCAGGTGCTGAACTCAAACACGGCAAGAGGAAGCCATGAAGATGGCCGCTGTCCTGGAAGTCTGGTCACTTTCTGGGGGTCGAAGATGCTGACTTCTACAAAGACAGGATCCATATGGTCCTTGAACACTCGACTGAGTGTGTAAATGTAGGAGGCGATTATGTTGAAAAATAACTGTGTAAAGTAACTTTTATGCCTTCGACCTTAAGCCAAGAATTTATCAGTCAGCCTGCGTAGTTAAACAGTAGCTTACCCTTTCTGGCAGAGTTCCTGTGCTCTGCAAAGCCAGATACGATCTGTTCATCAGGGGGGAAAGACACATGCTTTTCTCTCTTCTGTCTCTTCTTCTGGTTCTCCTTCAGGTTTTCTAGTCCGTCATCACTCTGCTCATCATTTTCGTTGTCACTACTATGGGTCATCCCTCTGTTTAGGATTGAATAACTTTCAAAAATTTTAAGCAAACTGTGAGTTCCATACAAGCAGGAAAAGCTTGGCCTATCAACAACCACTGTACCTAACCTCTGAGGAACAGTGGAACAGTTCCTGAAAAAAATTCTACTTTAAAGATGGAGCTGTTGTACTACTGACCTTGCTTGATGTGAAGTACTGCTCTTTCCACTCTGTGGCACTTGGAAAGACAAGACACTAAAGAAACAATATCTTATTCATGAGTTGTGTGCTGGGTTGTGAGTGAAACCCAATATGTTTGTATCCAGTGACGCATTAAAAATAGGTAAGGCCCTGCACATTAACATACCTATTTAAATACGGCATTTACAACGACATTCGTGTGTAGAAGATGGGCAGGTATATTGAGTAGACCTTTCAAATTATACTGGTTCTACATGTAATGTGAGGTGGGTCACCAGTAGTGACAAACTTACAGATTATTATAATCCAATTCCCCAGCTCTCTCAGCTCTACTAGGTTTTTTGCACTCCTTTACTTCACTCATCAAACACCATTGCAAAAAACATGACAGCATTTTTTTATATTTTGAGACCTCCTGAAAGTGAAAGTTTAATAACGTTCATTTGAGGGATCGACTAGAGATGTACCCAGTTTCTATGAACTATATGTACTGTCTACATTTGGGGTCAGTTTTATAAGTTTGACCGCAGGCATATTTTTCTCTAAGCCAGTAGATGACAGGCCAGAACATAATCAAAGGCTAAATCAAAAATGTTATTTCAATCAGTTGACCTGAACTTTGTGACAGACCTTTACAGAATGCTTAGTGAACTCAACCAACAAACCGACAGATGTTATCCGGTATCTAGTTTTTGCTTGGCATATTTGCTTTTTTGAACCAAATTGTACTTACTTGATTGTTGTTGTTCTGGGTTTGTACCCTCATGGTTGAATGTACTTATTGTAAGTCGCTTTAGATAAAAGCGTCAGCAAAATGACATTTTATATAATTATATATTCACATGCATGGGAGATACAGATGTAACGTTGACAAGTAGCGCTGTGCTGTAACTAACTCCCCACTCCTGGAGGGATGGATGAAGTGTCCACAAGACACTTTTGGAGTTTCAGGGATGAACAGTGTTGCAGCCAAATCCAAAACAATTGAAGGAAAATGGTGACCACTTCTTCAAATGTAAAAAAATAACATAAAATGCCTCCATACTGCACCTGTTGTGTCATCCAAGTGTCTGTAAGCCCCAACATTCAAATTTGACTTGAAATGGCACCATTTAGACCATGTTTTTGGTTTAAACTGACTGCAGCTATCGCGATTAGTGCATCTAAGACATTAAAGGCGTAAGACAAGACTAGACATGGATATAAGGCTGGAACTTAAAGCACAAGACGAGACGAACTGGCACCGGATAGGAGAAGAGGCAAACCATATATACTAACTGAAACAGGGTTAACTAGATGCAGGTGTAACATATTAGGAAAGGAAAGGTAACACAAGGGCAGGAGTGAAGTTACCTAAAGGACCAGAGACAAGCGTGAGTGTCAAAGTAAAACAGGGAAGTGACAGATAACAGGAAATACTGCATGTGTGTGCATAACCATGACATAAAGTGTTTCAAACTACAATATGCAGTTTGTTTGTAACACGTAACTAGCTGTGGAAATGCATGTGTACATGATCAATAGTTTTCACTTTAGATTAGGGAATGCAGAAAGGTTTTTAAATGACTTGTATACACTTATACATAATTCTTGAAGGGTTAAGGGAGATCTACAAATAATATGTAACACATTTACAAATGATGCATAGTTTACACTTTAAATTGGGGCTTGCAGAAAGGTTTGTAAATGATTTAACCATATGTTTACATATCATTTGTAACAGGTAAGGACCACTTGTTTGTTTTGCAGTGCTTCTGTGTGCTGGCTGCTTCTGCAGGCTTGGGGAATGTATAGAGAGCTATCTTCTCTGACACATGGAGCCTTTTCTATACACTTACAGGAGCTTCACCTGCAGGTCATAACTGGTTCAGAGGTTCACATTACCCGATCCCCAACAATCCACACAGAGCTCAAGTCTCTGTATCGAGTGAATGTATACACTGACCTCCCTTCATCCCCTGACTCTAAATCATTTTTAAATGTTTATTCACTTTCAAAAAAAAAGTCAACTCATTTAAAAATTGCATGATCATAATGAGTTTTTTGTGCTTTTAATAGGCTAATAATTGCTGAATGCAGAGTGATTCACAATACATTAAACCATTACTTATTAATTATTTACTGAAAATGTGTTCATGATCATTTCATGTTTTATTAAAAGTGTTTAAAATGACTTACGTTATTAATGTTTTGTAAATGATTAGTTCATCATTAAGTAAGTCTGTGAAAAGCCTGCAGTTGGTCCAAAATGCTGCAGTGCTGACAGGAATTAAAAGGAGAGATCATATTACTCCTGTCTTGGCTTCTCTAATTATGTCAGCTATTTTTTGTTGAGCAACTAACATAACAAAGCTCAATAATTCAGGTGATATTAAGCATTGCAGCAACAAAAACGAACATTGTGCTTGTACTTTGTCAACAAATTGGTAAAGAGGAGGTGATTGTATGAATGTTGCTGTCATAACAGAGCTCAACAGCCGCAACACACGAGGATGTTTAATGAAAAGTATCCATTTCTTTAACTATATTAAAAATGTTTTTCATTCTGGGAGGCAGACTGTAAAAATGAGGGAGATCTCCAAAAGTCCTTTGGCAAAGCTACCTACTGCCTGCAACATAAAACAAATCTTTGCATTGGGAATGCAAAATGTTACAATTACAGAGTAATGAAAGGAGTACTGAGGTCACAGACTTAACTAAAGCAGCATGAAGTGTTTCCGATTATTTCCTCATTTCCTCCTGTTTTATCATTAAAGAAAAGAAAGAAAAGAACTGGAGGCTACAATTATCGAAAGCTCATAAAGCATTAACAAGTCAACACAGAATAAAGGAAACAAAGACATTGCACACTCAAAATGTTCAATGGCATTTTTTCATGAAGTTTGTCACATTTAGATATTTTGTGAGATAATAACAAAATGCAATGTGTTTTCAATATCTGTGTGAATTTACTTTGTCTTTGCTGAAATTCTTATAATTGTTGTGATTGACATGGACACTGAGTTCAATCCTCAAGGAAAAGAAAAGTGAAAATGTACAGCCATGCCACTGCATACGTAGACAAGGCAGTCCTCTCAACTAATTGCTAATCTTGGCGGCGCAACATGCTGACTGTGACAACATGTAGATTTTTGACCATGTTGACATCTTAGTTTAGTGTAGTAGAATGCTAATATTTGCTGATTAGCATTAAACACAAAGTACAGCTGAGGCTGATGTACATGTTTGGTCATAAACCAAAACTTTGGTTTAATTTTGACCTGATGTCAAGGATAGTTCACCAAATTCATTCCATTCCATCCATAGGGGAATATAGCTATTAGGGCTGCACGATTAATTGTATTAAAATTGTGATTTTAAATCATACCTATGTGATCTCTGTTCGATGATTGTGTCTCGATTATGTTCCACTGCTCCATAATTATAACCACTCCCACCCACTCCCATTGGCTCTCTTATCAAAGCTATACCCCCAAAACACCTGAGCATGCACTACCTGACAACTGATAGAAGCCAACTTTTCGGTGACTCGCTAGCTGTGAGGACTCTGGTCATGTGCAAGCATAGAAGGTCAGTTAGTGAAAGACAGGACACCATCATTCAGACCCGTTAAATGTTTGGCGATGTTTATCACATTCTTAGGAGGACCACAGACACCATCTTTTTTTTCAAACACCTTTATTTATTGATGGCTATCAGGATGTGAAGATGATTTCAATAAATATAAAAAGTGTATCAGAGACAACTTAAAGTAATTTTAATTGTTCCACAAACTAATTGCTCATTATTACATATACAAAAGAATTTAAGAGCTGGGTGGAAAAATGGGGGGCCTGTGCTATTTTTTGTCCCTCATCCCCCTAATGTGTTAATCTGGCCCTGGTTGTGAAAGTCCCCACTTGATGTGATGTTAATATTTGTTATGTGACAGCAACTGACAAGCAGCTCAGTTTCTCCTTAAAAATGTACAAATGTATTATGTGTATATATATAGGCCTACTATAGCTATAAAACAAACATTTAAATCACTTTTATGTCACTTGCATTTATATAATCCGTAAATGGAAATAAAAGGCTCATTCTTTGCTCACTAGTCACAAACTTTTCCCGTCACCACCGGTTGAGGTTTGAGTGCATTTACGTGGAGAATCGCTTCCGTAATTACGCAGCGTAATCGACCAATGGAATAGCAAAGTCTCGTGACGCCATTTCCTGACCGGTAGTTTTGCGGGAAGTTTGGTGCTGGTGCAGTTCAGTCTGCAGTCAGCGATAAACAACAAAGTGAAGGTTTGTGTGCTCGTCTTGTCATTTTGTGAAACGTGTAACCATCGCCTGCATCCACAGTGTCGCGCAGATTCAGAAGCGTTTGTTATGAAACGTCGTCACTGGGCAGCTAACGTCAGATATCGATACTATCGAGACAGCAGAGTTAGCTCTGAAGCTAACGTCACTTGTTTCACTACCTAGCTAACGTAGCGTTAGCCTTTCCAGAGCTACCCTTACCGCAAACGCGTTTTTGTTAAAACGACTGCAGGCGGACACCGCTTCAGTAAACGCAGTGGTCATTGGAATGTATTAAAGCTATTATTGAATTCGTAAGCTGTACTTTACGTCACTGAGTGTTAACGGGAAACCTCTGGATGTGGTTAGCTAACACCGTTCGTAATGAAAGCATCCAACACGATGATGGTGCGTTTCAGATGCCACCCAAAGCCAAGGCTGCAGGGAAAGGAAGAGCTCCGGCTAAGAGGAAACTGGCAGAGGAGTTCCCACCAGGGGAAGTGTTGACTGACACCGGGAAGAAGGCCTGGAAACTGGGGACTCCAATCGGTCAGGGGGGATTTGGTCTCTTATATCTGGGTAAGAATAAATGGGACACTGATGATCAAGTTCTAAAGTTGAACAATACTTTCTAAAAGACATTCGCAGATGATGTGACTACATTTTTATCATTCATTTTTCTCAGGCAAACATAATGCCTGAACTCGGGACACGATCACTGATCATATTTAACTATCCTCTACCACCTATTATAGGTTCCTGGCAGTTTTGTTTAATTGAAAAAATTATATAGCTTTGGATAAAAGTGTCAGCTAAATGAAATGTAATGTAATTTTGTCAGTAAAAGTAACAAAGAAGAAAAATACTTATAGTTGATGTACGGATGGTCATTGTGTTTCATTGTTCTGCACAAGATCGAACCTGCAGAGTCTGACATGTGTAAGTACTATTTAATGCTGACATTATTTTCTTTTTCTTAAGCTGATGAAAATTCTGCAAAATCTGTTGGTGCAGATGCTCGCTATGTCATCAAAGTGGTAAGAGTCTAAACATCCTAAAAGCATGAACTGATATTGAGTTGCTAAAAAGTTTTTTCTTTCATACACGTCACATGTGCACTTCCTACAAATCATTTCCTTAGGTGACTCTTGGTTTTCACTGTTGTTTACAGTAGTTTTGTTTTATTTTGATGTTTGCAAATCAGTTTTGAAATGTTTGGGGAAAAAAGCATGGGCCCCAAAAGTGGTCAGATTGTAGATGAAATATGTCCTGTAACCAAAGTGAGTCATACTCTGACAGGAGTGTTTAATGTTGTTGAACATCCTTTGTAAAGATCAAAACTCATCAGAGTGAAATGTGTGTGTGAATCCAGCAAACAGCCAAGGAGCTGGAAGAGAAATCACATTCAATTGCTAGCCTCCTAGTTTTATTTTTTTAAGTCAGTGGTTTTTTTAATATAATTAATTGTAACATTTAATCAAAGTATACAATTAAGCTTCCCTGCCTTGTCTGTCCCTTTGTTCCTTTGCTATTCCACGGTGTTCTTCCACATCATTGGCTCGAGATAATTTATAGGTAACTCTATATTGTGACAAGAGAAAAATATTTGTTGTGTTATGTCAACTTTTGTAGCAATTGTGCGTTCTTTGGACAATGCTTTGTGTTTTTCCACACAGCACAGATACAGGTGGGGAATTTTGCTGTAGGCACCACATAGACATAGACGCACGTGAACGTGAGATAATTCAGAAAAGAAGGACTTTGAAGTTATGGCAGTTCTTGGTTTGGCTTGATGCAATTGGAGCAGTATGCAGCGGATGAGAGGAGCAGTAAATTACTGACAGAGCTGCTAAAAACTGTAAAAAAAATAACTTTTCATGGTCCAAAAATGTATGTACTTTAAGTGGACTTAAAGTGATAATTTGGGGCGCATGGCTCCCTGGGTGTTGGTCCTGGACTTGTTTTTGCTGTGGTCAGGCTCTGCGCCTTCTCCCCCGGGTTGTAGAGGTCCATAGTCAAGTGGAAGAATTTCAATAAAACCATGTTGTTGGAGTGGAAATAATGCTTTTCATTTTTGTTTTCAGTGTCTGCATAGACCACTTACTGTATTGGGTTTATGTAAGCAGTTAAACCAAAGCACATAGAATTTAACACCGTATACCTAAGCATTTGTTTATTTATTGCAAGACATATTGTAGGGCTGGGCAATATGGAAAAAAGTCTTATCACGATATTTTTTTTCATATCAGTTGATATCTGATATAAATCAGATGGTAAAAAAGATTAGTGGTATTAACTGTCTTTGTGGGAACATGCTTTTGACACTATGTACAGTGCAAGCTACTCTGCTTTTTGTCGGCCTTCAAATAGCCAAAATATCTTTGCGCAAATTCCCCTGACCCTTCTTTTCAACAATGTTCCCGTCTTTAGAGCCTTGGGCTGTGTCCGTTGGGTTGTTTTCTTCTATAACGCTGTTGCTCAAGTTTTTCGTTAACATTTCCTGTCATCATTTTCTCTTTTATATAGCTCCCACTCCTGATGTTCTGCTGCCATGGCAGCAGTAGCCAAAACATTAACATGTGTGCTACTGTCTGCTGCTACTGTCTGTGCTTTCTGCGTCAACCTAACCTGACAGGGCTGTAACTCTATACCAGACACATGATTTTTCATATATTATCGTTACTGCGTGTACTTCTTTGTTAGGAAATGTGTCCTTTAAATAATGTGGGATGTTAAATGATATTTACAGCAATGTGATGATTTGTTGGTTTGTTAGTATTTCATTTGCTTGATGAGCTCAAAAACAGACATACAGTCA